TATGCTTTTTATAGGACTCTGCTATGACGTAAGTCTACAACAGGAATTGTTTTACAGATAGACTGAAGTTACTGGAATACGCAAGCCCATGGCAATTTCCTTCTATACTTAAGAATTTGAAGAGCAATCAAACGTTTGGAAAAACTGAAGTTTTCATATATTGACCTTTTCGTAATAACATATACCGCACGTCGGAAATTCGAAACAAAATTCGTAGTTAGGAATTCTTTTGACAAAATTTATCAAAAAATGGACAATGACAATTAATTTGCAGCTAAGCAACTTTTGATATAAAACTGATTGATGATGACGACATATACTTTCTCTATGAAATAAACAAGGACAATTTTACAAAATACTTTTTTTCAATTCCTTTTTTCATTTAAATGATGGATAACTAGAAATGGGAGACTTTGGGGGGGGACTTTTGGAGTCTTTGGGAGACTTTGGGGGGCCTTTTGGAGACTTTGGGAGACTTGACAGAAGAAATGACACTGCGGTACTCTACCTACATCTTCTGTGGAATATAGTGTAGTATGTCACAGTAGGAATGGATATCCTATTACATTAAAGCCAATCAGAAGTCTAAAAGGACAATCATAAAATGGTCCCATCTTTGTTTTGCGGTATCACTAACTACCACTACAATGGAAAAAAATAATCATGGGTGTTGGTCAACCTATTAAGTGATTTTTGACTCTGCTTCGTGCACATCATATAAAGAGTATACTTATACTAACGACATTCCATATAAATAACATCTTACAATACAAATGAATTTAGAGTTAGATACAATAGAGGCAAACAATGAATTTTAACTTACCATACAGCTGTTTAGTCCCTCTAGGACTCGTCAGTGATGGTACACCATACAGCTGTTTCGTCCTTCTAGGACTCGTCAGTGATGGTATACCATACAGCTGTTTAGTCCCTCTAGGACTCGTCAGTGATGGTACACCATATAGCTGTTTCGTCCTTCTAGGACTTATCAGTGATGGTACACCATACAGCTGTTTCGTCCTTCTAGGACTTGTCAGTGGTGCTACATCATACAGCTGTTTCGTCTTTCTTGGACTTGTCAGTGATGTTATATCATACAGCTGTTTAGTCCTTCTAGGACTTGTCAGTGATGTTCTATCATACAGCTGTTTCGTCCTTCTAGGACTCGTCAGTGATGTTATATCATACAGCTGTTTAGTCCTTCTAGGTCTCGTCAGTGATGCTACATCATACAGCCGTTTCGTCCTTCTAGGACTCGTCAGTGATGTTCTATCATACAGCTGTTTAGTCCTTCTAGGACTTGTCAGTGATGTTCTATCATACAGCTGTTTCGTCCTTCTTGGACTTGTCAGTGATGTTATATCATACAGCTGTTTAGTCCTTCTAGGTCTCGTCAGTGATGCTACATCATACAGCCGTTTCGTCCTTCTAGGACTCGTCAGTGATGTTCTATCATACAGCTGTTTCGTCCTTCTAGGACTCGTCAGTGATGTTCTATCATACAGCTGTTTCGTCCTTCTAGGACTCGTCAGTGATGTTACATCATACAGCTGTTCCGTCCTTCTAGGACTTGCCAGTGATGTTACATCATACAGCTGTTTCGTCCTTCTAGGACTTGTCAGTGATGTTACATCATACAGCTGTTTCGTCCTTCTAGGACTTGTCAGTGATGTTACATCATACAGCTGTTTCGTCCTTCTAGGACTTGCCAGTGATGCTACATCATACAGCTGTCCTGTAAACCCGAAGTATCCCAAACCATTGAACAGCAGTGTATAGTCCAATCTAAAAAAATAAAGGCGACTGTTTCAGAACGCAAAGATTCTCATCGACGTTAATAACAATGCAAGACAAGGTCAATTCAAAATGCCACATTAAAACCAAACCATTAGACTCCTCACAAAGCTTAGAACAAACCGAACTGTATACATTACACAGAACCAGATTTAGAATTTGACATCAGGAGTAAAAATTTTACTCGAGTTTCAATAAACCTGTTTACCCTGAATCAGCTCGGTGAGATACCTATATATATGTATATATATATAGAGGCTAAAGGAATACTAGAAAAACTTACCAATCTAGAGTTACAGTAAACAGCTTAAGACAAGAAGACTGGGAACTATTCTATCTGAGCTTGGTGACGACAATACACATGGACTTTCCATAGTTACAGTAGACAGAGAGAGACAGGAAGACTGGAACTATTCTATCAGGGCTTGGTGACGACAATAAACATGGACTTTCCAGAGTTACAGTAGACAGATAGAGACAAGAAGACTGGAACTATTCTATCTGGGCTTGGTGACGACAATAAACATGAACTTTCCAGTTACAGAAGACAGATAGAGACAAGAAGACTGGAACAATTCTATCTGGGCTTGGTGACAACAATAAACATGGACTTTCCAGTTACAGTAGACAGATAGAGACAAGAAGACTGGAACTATTCTATCTGGGCTTGGTGACGACAATAAACATGAACTTTCCAGTTACAGAAGACAGATAGAGACAAGAAGACTGGAACTATTCTATCTGGGCTTGGTGACAACAATAAACATGGACTTTCCAGTTACAGTAGACAGATAGAGACAAGAAGACTGGAACTATTCTATCTGAGCTTGGTGACGACAATAAACATGGACTTTCCATAGTTAGACAGCTAGAGACAAGAAGACTGGAACTATTCTATCTGGGCTTGGTGACGACAATAAATATGGACTTTCCAGAGTTACAGTAGACAGATAGAGACAAGAAGACTGGAACTATTCTATCTGGGCTTGGTGACGACAATAAACATGAACTTTCCAGTTACAGAAGACAGATAGAGACAAGAAGACTGGAACTATTCTATCTGGGCTTGGTGACGACAATAAACATGGACTTTCCAGTTACAGTAGACAGATAGAGACAAGAAGACTGGAACTATTCTATCTGAGCTTGGTGACGACAATAAACATGGACTTTCCAGAGTTAGACAGCTAGAGACAAGAAGACTGGGAACTATTCTATCAGGGCTTGGTGACGACAATAAACATGGACTTTCCATAGTTACAGAAGACAGATACAGACAAGATGACTGGAACTATTCTATCTGGGCTTGGTGACGACAATAAACATGGACTTTCCAGAGTTACAGTAGACAGATAGAGACAAGAAGACTGGAACTATTCTATCTGGGCTTGGTGACGACAATAAACATGAACTTTCCAGTTACAGAAGACAGATAGAGACAAGAAGACTGGAACTATTCTATCTGGGCTTGGTGACGACAATAAACATGAACTTTCCAGTTACAGAAGACAGATAGAGACAAGAAGACTGGAACTATTCTATCTGGGCTTGGTGACGACAATAAACATGGACTTTCCAGTTACAGTAGACAGATAGAGACAAGAAGACTGGAACTATTCTATCTGAACTTGGTGACGACAATAAACATGGACTTTCCAGAGTTAGACAGCTAGAGACAAGAAGACTGGGAACTATTCTATCAGGGCTTGGTGACGACAATAAACATGGACTTTCCAGAGTTAGACAGCTAGAGACAAGAAGACTGGGAACTATTCTATCAGGGCTTGGTGACGACAATAAACATGGACTTTCCATAGTTACAGGAGACAGATACAGACAAGATGACTTGAATCTATTCTATCTGGGCTTGGTGACGACAATAAACATGGACTTTCCAGAGTTACAGTAGACAGATAGAGACAAGAAGACTGGAACTATTCTATCTGGGCTTGGTGACGACAATAAACATGAACTTTCCAGTTACAGAAGACAGATAGAGACAAGAAGACTGGAACTATTCTATCTGGGCTTGGTGACGACAATAAACATGGACTTTCCAGTTACAGTAGACAGATAGAGACAAGAAGACTGGAACTATTCTATCTGAGCTTGGTGACGACAATAAACATGGACTTTCCAGAGTTAGACAGCTAGAGACAAGAAGACTGGGAACTATTCTATCAGGGCTTGGTGACGACAATAAACATGGACTTTCCATAGTTACAGAAGACAGATACAGACAAGATGACTGGAACTATTCTATCTGGGCTTGGTGACGACAATAAACATGGACTTTCCAGAGTTACAGTAGACAGATAGAGACAAGAAGACTGGAACTATTCTATCCGGGCTTGGTGACGACAATAAACACGGACTTTCCAGAGTTACAGAAGACAGATAGAGACAAGACTGGGAACTATTCTATCTGAACTTGGTGACGACAATAAACATGAACTTTCCAGAGTTACAGAAGACAGACAGAAACAAGAAGACTGGGAACTATTCTATCTGAGCTTGGTGACGACAACAAACATGGACTTAAAACTTGGTACATACAGTAAAAGTTACGTCTATTTTCTATATTTATGAGTACGTCCTCAGCAACCTTCTGTACGGTCCGATCGCCATCAACACCAATGTCTGTCATTTAAAGGGTCAAGATCTTTTTGTCAAGCAAAATAGTATGAGCAGAGCTGGATAAAAAATGCTGTTCTGAGGAATTCAACACATTTCGTAGAAAAGTCCTATGTTTGGGAGTGACTGTACAAAGAGCAGTCAGAGACATCGAAATCGCCATTAAGAATGATGTTACTGAATGATTTTCAGTCAGATCCTTCAGTTGCAAAACCAATACTTATACCTGTCCTCACTGCCACGTGGCACGGAAAAAATGTGATCTGTTGCTATTCATTTGCAAATCTTTTAAACCTTTCAAATCTTTCAAATTCCAAAGTGTGGTGTTGTGTAAACAAAATTTTGTTGCCAAAAGGATACTATTTCTCTGTGTCTTTAATGCAATTTTTGGATACACATTTGAACTGCTAGTTAAATTAGCATTATTCTGTATAAGACTAATTATCCACTTGGTTGGTGGCAGATTATAAACCCCGGACTAGTTGATGATGATTTAACAATGTTAGCTATGCTCTCTACCAAAATTAAAACAGAACAAAATAAAAGTTCATTTCTAAGTTTTATGTCATTATGATATGCATGTAACAACAAAGGTATATATAATATCTAAAACATGGTAATAAGACATTTGATTGAGTGCCTTCAAATGGTTTGCAATAATCATATTTACATATATATTCCATATTTACAAAATTACTATAAATAATTTTTTCTTCATTTTATACCATTGCAAATCTAAAAAATAAATATAAAATAATTCCACATTGACAATACACAATGTAACAATGGTAACCAAATAGTCATAGCAATATGCCATATCATTTACATGCACATTTGTGTACATTTGGAAATTTAAATTGCAATTAAAATAAAAACGTACCAAAAAATACCTCTTTAGTCTGAGGTCAATGTATAATAAGATTATGAAATATTAAACAGTGAATCTACATTGGCTATTTCACATCTATACTGGACAAACTTTGGGTGCTCCACAAAATTTCACAAAAGCTGCATTTTTATTTGATTAAATCTTGCTGCAATATCCCCTCTCAAGCAGAAAAAAATTCTTTTCATATTTAATAGCATGAATGTTTAACAATATTTAATGATTAAAATTTACTTTCATTTTTTTCTAAATGAAAGTTACCAGAAATCAATACCAAACCCTCTGGCCAATATTTCTGATACAAAGTCGGGGATTTGACAGCATTGCAACATGATGGACGACACAGTAGATTTATACTAGTATGAGGAATACACATGAATGTAAAAGTCAGGTTTGTGGTTTGTATATTACATGAGGACATCATTAATAACATGGAATGGTATCACTGTGATACAAGTGATGTATGTGAAGCTTTGTATACATATCAGAAAGATCGTATAGAATACTTCAGCTTTAAAATTGGTAACAGAATAATCAATTATTATGGCAATTTACATAAGCTTCTTCATCAAAAGTAATTGTAAATATTAAATATTTTTAAATATTCATTGATGACATGTACAACATCAAAATATTAGAAATAGAAAACAGAGTTTACTGACTCTTGATCGTATCTGATTTTCAATGGTGTAAAACATTTTCCGATCCTCACCCATACTTAATTAGGTCTGTAAATAAAAAAACTATTCTATATAGATCACTTGTTTATCAATATTAATTAATATGAAATGTAAACATCAATCAAACAGATAGTTAAACCTTAAATTCTACACATCATGTATGTAATTCTAGTCACCTGAATTGATATTCACATCATCTTTAAGATGTTTCCATATATAGCCTAATGTAAACAGTAAACATAAAACTAAATGCATATCACATATGCCCAACATCTTTTGACAAATGCCATTTTTTGTTCTCTCAAATAACTATTTACATCTGTATAAGGATATATATTGTAGGTATAAATTTCATCACCCTTCAAAACCAATACAAAAAGATTTCAAAGAATGCTTTGAAGATTCAAAACAGAGTATACTAACATTCTGAGACAAAAAGAAAACATCTTGATTTTGTTCTCTTTCAACTGGGAGTCTTGCTAAACTTTCAACAAGCTGTACAATCATTCAAATGCTGTCCTAACCGATAACTTGTGGTCCATCTCGTTATACAAAATGGCTGATTTTATATTTTAGGACAGGACCTAGCTGTTTGAGTAATTCATATATCTATATACAGTGAAATCTGACAGAATGGTAAATTTTAACTACACACCTGGCATACAAAACCTTTCACATAATTCCTGTTTGCTGGAATAGGACATGAAGTTATAAAATGATTACGAGTATTCATTACATATAAATGTAAACTATATCAAACAAAATGGCTGGAAACTGGTATGGTGTTACGGATAAAAAAAAACACAGCAACATAAAAACACCTTAACTGTCATAAAACACCAAAATATATTCCAAAAAATCAAAATTTGGATTCTCACCCAGACCTTGCATTTGAACACAACTTGTGACAAGGCCAGGGTCATTCATAATTCAAACCAAAGTTCAAGGTTACAGCAAGCCTATATAGGCCAAAAATCTAGTTTAAGTCAGTAACACATAATGGCAAGTGACAGCCTGCTGAAAAATAAAAACATCTTTCCATCAGAAAGTTAAAGGTCATGCTCAAAGTTGTGTGACTTCCACTTCCAAGACTGCTGGTGAGTCATTGTTCATATTACTTTGGAGACTAACAGACCGAGTTGAAAATGAGGAGGTTGATGATTTTCTTGAAGATGTCTGGAGAACAACACAAAAAAAAAAAAAATGGAAACACATGTTGCCAATGAACAGAACATAAAAAAACATTTAATCATCTGTTTGATGGAAAATACATTGAAATGTTTTATAGTATATACTTCTTATCCAGTTATCACCCTCATAATTAGAATAACATCAATAACAGATAAACACGCCCCTGATTTTTAACAAAAGTATATTTTATCTCCATCTCACAACAGCACATCGTGTAATCCTTATTCCAGGAAAACCTTTTCAAGTATACCCTTACTAAATATGTTCAAATATGATTTCTCATTTCAAACTATACTGATTGTCGTATTAATAGTGATTCTTACTGAATATCTATGTAGGTAGTCTGCGAGTCGAAGTGTAGAGTATCCCTCTCTGTTTCCACAATTTACACACTTCTGTATCATCCCTCTCTGTTTCCATAACTTACACACTTCTGTATCATCCCTCTCTGTTTCCATAACTTACACACTTCTGTATCATCCCTCTCTGTTTCCATAACTTACACACTTCTGTATCATCCCTCTCTGTTTCCATAATTTACAGACTTCTCAATCATCCCTCTCTGTTTCTATAGTTTACAGACTTCTCTATCATCCCTCTCTGTTTCTATAGTTTACAGACTTCTCTATCATCCCTCTCTGTTTCCATAACTTACACACTTCTGTATCATCCCTCTCTGTTTCCATAACTTACACACTTCTGTATCATCCCTCTCTGTTTCCATAATTTACAGACTTCTCTATCATCCCTCTCTGTTTCCATAATTTACAGACTTCTCAATCATCCCTCTCTGTTTCTATAGTTTACAGACTTCTCTATCATCCCTCTCTGTTTCCATAGTTTACAGACTTCTCTATCATCCCTCTCTGTTTCCATAACTTACAGACATCTCTATCATCCCTCTCTGTTTCCATAACTTACAGACTTCTCTATCATCCCTCTCTGTTTCCATAACTTACAGACTGCTCTATCATCCCTCTCTTTCCATAGTTTACAGACTTCTGTGTCATCCCTGTTTCCATAGTTTACAGACTTCTGTATCATCCCTCTCTGTTTCCATAACTTACAGACTGCTCTATCATCCCTCTGTTTCCATAGTTTACAGACTTCTCTATCATCCCTCTCTGTTTCCATAATTTACAGACATCTCAATCATCCCTCTCTGTTTCTATAGTTTACAGACTTCTCTATCATCCCTCTCTGTTTCCATAATTTACAGACATCTCAATCATCCCTCTCTGTTTCTATAGTTTACAGACTTCTCTATCATCCCTGTTTCCATAATTTACAGACTTCTCTATCATCCCTCTCTGTTTCCATAGTTTACAGACTTCTGTATCATCCCTGTTTCCATAATTTACAGACTTCTCTATCATCCCTCTCTGTTTCTATAGTTTACAGACTTCTCTATCATCCCACTCTGTTTCCATAACTTACAGACTGCTCTATCATCCCTCTCTTTCCATAGTTTACAGACTTCTGTGTCATCCCTGTTTCCATAGTTTACAGACTTCTGTATCATCCCTCTCTGTTTCCATAACTTACAGACTGCTCTATCATCCCTCTGTTTCCATAGTTTACAGACATCTCAATCATCCCTCTCTGTTTCTATAGTTTACAGACTTCTCTATCATCCCTGTTTCCATAATTTACAGACTTCTCTATCATCCCTCTCTGTTTCCATAGTTTACAGACTTCTGTATCATCCCTGTTTCCATAATTTACTAATTTACAGACTTCTCTATCATCCCTCTCTGTTTCTATAGTTTACAGACTTCTCTATCATCCCTCTCTGTTTCCATAACTTACAGACTGCTCTATCATCCCTCTCTGTTTCCATAGTTTACAGACTTCTCTATCATCCCTCTCTGTTTCCATAACTTACAGACATCTCTATCATCCCTCTCTGTTTCCATAACTTACAGACTTCTCTATCATCCCTCTCTGTTTCCACAACTTACAGACTTCTCTATCATCCCTCTCTGTTTCCATAGTTTACAGACTTCTCTATCATCCCTCTCTGTTTCCATAACTTACAGACTTCTGTATCATCCCTCTCTGTTTCCATAATTTACAGACTTCTCTATCGTCCCTCTCTGTTTCCATAATTTATAGACTCCTCTATCATCCCTCATAGTTTCCATAATTTCTCTATAATCTAGAAATAAAGATTTACCATTGGATTTTTCTTGGAAGATCTTTTCCTGGTCAAGGGAAAATCGGTTTGCGTCGAGGCATTGCACGTCTGGATTTTTGTCTTATTCCGTGGCACCACAATGATATCCGGACCAAAGAAGAAGTTATCATTGTGACTACAGGAAGGAAGTTTGTCGTCATTGAAACTAGAACAACTGGCGATCTTCTCGTCACCATGGCAACTACTACTTGATGAAGATGTTGAAGAGAGTGATGTTTTTTCTATGGAAGCTTTGAAAAAAAGTAAAAGAAAAAATCTGATAAGGGAAAGGACATTTCAGAGCACTACAATTTTGTTGACATCAGATATAAAATGTTTCAGACGACATTAAGCCAAACACAGCCATTAATAATCCTAATGACCTCTAATAATGACAGCTTTGTCAGAGAACAGTTAGTATTTAAGTTCATTACAGGTAAAGTGACAACGCAGATCAACCATTTTTTTCAAATTTTGAGCTATCCAAGAATTAAAATCACTTGATCATAACGTCAGAAAAATTTGCTGGGACTGGAGAAAGACTTGAACAGCACGGTCATTGAGCTATCAGCTTGTTAAAGTGTTTCCAATCTCACCATTTGTGAATATCATTACAAGTCTGTAAACCTTTCTTATTTAACCTTGGGCATTCTAGTTTTATTCATGTTATAATCAGTGATAAGGTTGTCTCCCTTTTATCAAATCATTACAGAATTTAGAAAATGTATTAATTAAATACCACAATTCATTTAGCTAAATAGGACTAAAGGCAAATTATATTCACTATCAATAAATTATTTTATATAATCTGTGGGATATAGGTTACATAGAATCATGTTATTTATTTGAGAAACACTATAGACTTAGGATAAAAAGGAAGACAACCAAATCTTTTGAGATATTTCAGGTTTTTATTTTCTTTTGTACCACCAAATATCATGCAAATATATATTCAACACATTCACACACAAGTGTTACTTAGCCAACACCACATAAAGCAAAACCAAACTACACACTCCACAAACTTATAACCTGTGATGTCAATATATAGTGATTAATCCTCCTGTTTTCAATCTTCAAAATCAATATTTAACAAAGCATTACTTTTTCTGAACAGCAGAAAATGTCATGGCTTTCAAAAATGAATTACCTGGAGTCACCAATGCAGAACTGGTCTCTTTTTGACAGAAGATGACCTCATTACATCACCCTGTGGCCTTAGTGATCTACATGTTTGACTTACATTGTACCTGTTGTTTGTTGACACTGTGGGTTGCTAACCTGGTTGACCTATGACCTATCTGTAGCTGACCTACCTCTCCATTGATGACACTGTGGGTTTCTGACCTGTTTGACCTATGACCTATCTATAGGTGACCTAACTGTGGATTGATGCCACTGGGTTGCTGACCTGGTTGATCTATGACCTATCTGTAGCTGACCTACCTCTCGATTGATGACACTGTTGGTTTCTTACCTGTTTGACCTATGACCTATCTGTAGGTGACCTACCTGTAGATTGATGACACTGTGGATTACTGACCTGTTTGACCTATGACCTATCTGTAGGTGACCTACCTGATGATTGCTGACCTGATTGGCCTATGACCTATCTGTAGGTGACCTACCTGTGGATTGATGACACTGTGGGTTGCTGTAGGCATGGTTTAGGATTGCACGCTCCCTCATGTCACGAGGTTTCTTTGGGGACAAGGATTTAGGAAGAAGACTTGTTTGGGATAGACTCGGAACACGAACACCAACCGTGGTGAAATCAACATTATCTGCAAACAGGGTCAGCTGATTAAAGCACACTTTGGGACTAAACCAATCAAAACATTCATCAGAAGCTCTGGATCAAAATCACACCTTTATAAAATTTGGTGTGATGTCCATCCAGATATTTCAAAGACTGTTTTTGATTTAAAGTTGAGGTAATTTCCATTCCAATAAACATTCAGGGTAGGGAGACATTGAAAGTGTATACCTGGTTATCCACTGACTGATCTGTATTTTATATACAAAGTGAATTCTATACCATAATAATTCAAAGAAATCTGATTGGAGAACAATTTTATCTGTTCAAAAGTTACTTTGTTGATTTTGTCAGATTGTTTACGAGTGTTCAATGACATGATAAATACAACTGTTTACTTAGTAGCTAAGCAGTTCTGTTTGCGCAATGAATCTGATTTGATCAATTCATTTATTTTAACAGGTTTTTACGTCCACTATTACGACCTTTCGGTCTTTCAGTGGACGAGTTTTGATCAATCTCATATACCACCTATATGTATGTGTATAGCTAATGTTTTCATTAAAATAAAGTCTTTTATAACCAACTTCAATATTCAGATTTCTTTTGATCTTGTCTTGATCTGAGTATTGGTAAAGAGATATTTATTTGAATCATTTACAAATAATATTTGACAGTTTGTTAATTTTTGTATTTTCTTTGCTTCTGTTTGTTTACAATAGGGATCAAAAAAGTTTAATTTCTAGGATTCCTAATCTATTCACACAAGCTACTCCAGTTTGGTTCTAGTCAAGTTTAAGTAAGATATATCAGGCATTGTTTTGAATTCACTTTATACTCATTCCCTAAAAACCTGACAATAAGATACAACTATATTCTTTTTCAGTAAGAACTTGATGGTAAATTTTTGAGACCAGCTTATTTTTAAGACTCTTTTATCTGTAAACTGAGAATGCCTAATTATTGAGAAGTTCCCAAGAAACTATTACCATTAAAATGTACATTCTATTATCTAAACAATAACCAGAATACTGTTGGGTGAAACAACATATGTTCGATACCAAAGAAATGCATGGAAATGATAGTTATAGGCCAAAATGTTTAAAAGAGAAAACAGTGCTATAATAAATACAGTTCTTGTGATAAATAAAGTATACAAAGTTTTAAACAGATAATTCTAATGGTAGTAATATCACCCTATAGTATTCTTGTTATTGTAAATGAATAAAAAACTGAAAAAAAAATTCTTTAAGCAAACTGAAAGAGGAAATATTTGGACAAGATTAAACTGTAACAAAGGGCAATAACTCTTTCCAAAATTATAAAATTACAATTCCATTAAGAAAAAAACAAAACCTTCATAAATGATTATAGAGCCCTCCAAGTCACAAAGAAAATGGTGAAAAAATGCGGAATCAGGTCTCCATACAGATTATTAAAAGTACCAACTCATTCTTAGGAACACAGGGCTTATTTTCCACATACTTTTCCCTTCATTAGGAACCTATGGCTTAATTTTAAGACTCGTTAATTTTCAACACTTTAGGGTATGCATTAATATACAATTGAAAACTTATTCAACATTCCACTGCTTAACTTCTTCATAGTTTACAGTATACATTTAGCTAACTGGTATACATTTTCAATTGCTCCCTGTAAAGTTTTCTTTGCACCATTAACTCAAACATGCTTGAATCTTAACTTTACATCCATTACTGACCATGTCTACCATATTTCCTGTATTCACCAGATTTTTATCAACAGCTCTTTCCTGTGAAACATGTTTGTCATTCTCCATTTTGTTAGAAAAATAATATGGGAACAACGATAAAGTCAACAACATACACTGAATATCACCTTTGGTTAATCTCTGCTGGGAGTTTTGAGAATATCCTCAGTTTCTATTTCAAATGTTACTGGTATTAATACAGAAAATATGGTTAATGCTCAAAACCCTTATTAAAACACAACCAATGATGGATATATGTTGTACCACAGGGACCCCATTCTTAATCAAATGACAGGTCATTATTAATCACATTTTTTAACCAAACATTTTAGAATCATGCTGATTATCAGTTCATTAATATATATACATGTCCCTAACCATCCAGTAGAACACATATCCCATACCCAATACAATTTTCTAACAATTATTCCTATTGAATTCAGTCTTAATGATACTTTTCTATTAAAACCAGAATTTTTCAAATATATTTTTTTTCTTTAAAAAATATTCTATGTTCAGTAGTCCTGAGTTCTGCAAAATGAATGAATTTTTTTTTGGAAAATTTCTCCAAATATTCTGAAGTATAAAAATTTTGATAAGTCATGAAGTTGCAAAAAACTTGTAAAATATCACAAACATCCCCATAACATATTTGAAGCATGACCTTTTCAAACATGATATTTTCTTTGAAAATAAATCTTTTCAAAATTACAATTTTCAACAATGATCAATTTGGTTACTTTTTTCAAAAACATTCTTTCTAAATTTCAATTTTATACAATGACTATAATACATGCCTCACCTGTAACAGTATGGAGAAGAGAATGCTCTATGTCTTCTACCATGGTGTGAGTATTAACGGTAGGAAAGTATTCTATATTTTTCCAGTGACGTTCCAAAGCAGGACCCCAGTTTGATTCAGAACTACAACTTTTCTTTAACCGCTGTGAAGATAAAAAATCCACATATTTTCCATTCAGCAGCAGCAACGTCAGCTGACTACTGATGTGGAAATATTACCAGTGTTGGAGAACTAGATGTTGTATAGTTCCACTCACACCAACACAGAAACACTTAAACCCCTAATTCTTTAACTAGGCATGCTAAACCTTGTAAAAGAATTGTTCGGTTTTGTCATCCTTGCATCAATGTTGACCATCCTTTGGAAAGTTTTCAGCAGGCAGGTCACAAATTATATAACTAAGATAGCAAGTCTGTATACACTAATTTATCACTTCAACATGTTCCATGCTTGAATGAATGTATTATGCTAGTTCTCAAGGCTAAAAATCTTGTAGTATTAACAACAGAATCAAGAATCACCTATTCAATTATTTGAAATAAAACATAAATTTTACCAATAGAAAATTTATTATACAAATTAATTTTCTATTTTTTCTATGCAAGAACTATACAAGTTAAACATTTCTGTTTTACAGAACCCATGATAAGACTGTCATAGCTTCCTTGACCAATAACGACAAAGTCACACTCACCTGTAAGAGGGAGCCTTGTTTGGTTATGACCTGGAATAACCCACACACTGGAATGGCTAGGACAGGGGTAAGTGTAATGATAAAACCTGGTATCTCTGCCCAGTCAGGATAGGCTTCTGTCTCATACTTTATTGACAGAGGTTTGTACCCAATCACTGAGAATATCAGAATAAACTGAAATAAAAGCAAAACATTAGCTGATCATCTCAAAAAAGTTCTCTAACAGAAACAAGTGCCATATCTTATGTAATTTCACTGTTATTGTTGACAAAATTAAATTGCACCACTATTTCACCTCGGTATCCAATTAAATTAATGCAAGACCAAGGTTAACTTATTCCATTCAGTTACAAAATTAAAATTCACACATGTCTCAGAGATGGCAGGCCTAAAAAGATATTTGTCTAGAGAGTAAGGAACAATATTCTGAACAGTGTGGTGGTACAAAGCAACCTTTAGCACTGTCACAGAATTCGAGCATAAACTTCTAAAGAATTAACTATAAGCCTTTAAAACTTTAGTATTAGAAATCACCTCTGTTAGTGCAAGAGGCTGAATGGGCCTGTATCACTCTACATAAATTGCTGATAAAGTTGATTTCAGTAAACCTGATGATTTTCTGCCAAATCATGTTACTGTTCAAATATTATACGACTCCTGGTCTTTTTGTTACAAAAAAGAAGCTGCATTTTTTTTCTCAATTTTTTACCCTTTTAATTTTGAAAGGGATCAAGGTCATCCATTTAAATAAATTTTAAATCATTCAACCGTGAATGTAACTTATGGCCCAATATTACCACCCAGGGCCTTTTGGTTATTGGTTTAATGAAAGTTTTGAAACCGTACCTACACCTGATGCTGCCTACATGACAAATGCTTACTTGTATTTTGGACAGATTAGGTAGCAGATCACGAAAGCTATATATACTCACTATTATAATGAGGGGTGTCATAACACACCACATCGCCTGCCACCAGTAACTAACACTATGTCCCACCATGTGTTTGATGTCCCGAGAGAACTGTTTCACCCCATATATCCAGCCGATGGCGATACACACGAAGATACCATTAATTAGGATGGGAAACCCCGCCGCATATTCATCCATCAGTTGTAGTACATACATACCACCCTAAAGACAGAAGTACATAACATGTATACTCAGACAGGATGGCGTCTACAACAATCTCACTTAGATATGGAATCAGATACTAAAACAACTTATTATTACAACAGTTTTTTTTATTGAAAACAAATACTAACTTGAAACTTTTTTACTCAGTATCACAAATGACGAGAAAGGTGTTGGCATGGATCAAATGCACAAAGTTTCAAAAGAGCACAATTAATTGTTTAAGGGCATAACTAAGTAAACTACTGTGGACAACTGTCATGTAACAATATAAGGGACATAACTCCAAAGAAAATCATCAATCAGCGAGATTCAAAGTTAGGATTTACCTGTGTGGTGAGTGGAAGTCCCAACAAAAACAAAATTCCACATAAAAGGGAGACAATCAGTACCCGTCTTCGTCGCAGTAGAGTGATATTTTCATCTATAATAGCAGTGATTACTGTCTCGATGTTCACAAACTGTGTACTTAGTCCTAGCATGACAATCATGAGAAAAAACAGCAGGGACCACATAGGGGCCGCCGGAAAGAAAGACATGGCAGCTGGATTAACAATAAAGGTCAGTCCAATACCTGAAGGTCAAACAGATGTAAAGGTTAATATTTATATACACTGTGTTTACACCATAATAGAAACACACACCAGGAAAATGTATGAAACCATAAAATTATTTCTTCATTTTCATAATGATTATTTGCATTTTTTTTTTTTTTTTTAAATATTTAGCATCAAGTTTTTTGAAAATCGAGAGAATTTCCCAAAAATTCTGAACTTTTATTTCAATTTTTAAATTTCTTTCCTAAATACATGCATTGAATATGGGGAAATTTGACTCACAACCTAAATTAACATGTTTACCTGAGGCTATGACATTCTCGACTGATGTGTTAAGTTCGTTGCTGAGGACGCCCATCATGGCAAACACAGAGAATCCCGCTAATACACTCATCAAGGTATCTCCCAGACAAACCAGTATTGCATCACTGAAACAGGAATGTCACTTTATACATTTCTATCTGTAAGGATTTTAAAGAAATTATCAGAATACTTTCATTGTGTTACAACCAGTTTTCAGCTTTTGGTAGCAACAAGTCACTTCTTTGTTTACAGAGTCTACGTGTATATACATCTCAAATCCAAGGGTACATAGGTTTACCTTGGTCCTTGGTCATGATATACATCTATCTCTATGACATAAACCATTGTATGTCTATCCCTATAACATTGTATGTCTATCTCTATAACATTGTATGTCTATCCCTATAACATTGTATGTCTATCCCTATAACATTGTATGAACATTGTATGTCTATCCCTATAACATTGTATGTCTATCCCTATAACATTGTATGTCTATCTCTATAACATTGTATGTCTATCCCTATAACAAACCATTGTATGTCTATCCCTATAACATTGTATGTCTATCTCTATAACATAAACCATTGTATGTCTATCTCTATAACATAAACCATTGTATGTCTATCTCTATAACATAAACCATTGTATGTCTATCCCTATAACATAAACCATTGTATGTCTATCCCTATAACATAAACCATTGTATGTCTATCCCTATAACATAAACCATTGTATGTCTATCTCTATAACATTGTATGTCTATCTCTATAACATTGTATGTCTATCTCTATAACATTGTATGTCTATCTCTATAACATAAACCATTGTATGTCTATCTCTATAATATAAACCATTGTATGTCTATCCCTATAACATTGTATGTCTATCCCTATAACATAAACCATTGTATGTCTATCTCTATGACATTGTATGTCTATCCATATGACATTGTATGTCTATCCCTATAACATAAACCATTGTATGTCTATCCCTATAACATAAACCATTGTATGTGTCTCTATAACATTGTATGTCTATCTCTATAACATAAACCATTGTATGTCTATCTCTATAACATAAACCATTGTATGTCTATCTCTATAACATAAACCATTGTATGTCTATCCCTATAACATAAACCATTGTATGTCTATCCCTATAACATTGTATGTCTATCTCTATAACATAAACCATTGTATGTCTATCTCTATAACATAAACCATTGTATGTCTATCTCTATAACATAAACCATTGTATGTCTATCCCTATAACATAAACCATTGTATGTCTATCCCTATAACATTGTATGTCTATCCCTATAACATAAACCATTGTATGTCTATCCCTATGACATTGTATGTCTATCCCTATAAACATTGTATGTCTATCTCTATAACATTGTATGTCTATCTCTATAACATTGTATGTCTATCTCTATAACATAAACCATTGTATGTCTATCTCTATAACATAAACCATTGTATGTCATTGTATGTCTATCTCTATGACATAAACCATTGTATGTCTATCCCTATAACATTGTATGTCTATCTCTATAACATTGTATGTCTATCCCTATAACATAAACCATTGTATGTCTATCTCTATAACATTGTATGTCTATCCCTATAACATAAACCATTGTATGTCTATCCCTATAACATAAACCATTGTATGTCTATCTCTATAACATTGTATGTCTATCCCTATAACATAAACCATTGTATGTCTATCCCTATGACATTGTATGTCTATCCCTATGACATTGTATGTCTATCTCTATAACATTGTATGTCTATCTCTAATAACATTGTATGTCTATCCCTATAACATAAACCATTCATGTCACTTGTTTATAGGATGTTGTTGTTTGTATTGATATATAAATATTTAATTTCTCTAAACATCAATACAAATGTGCCTCTCTGATAAGGAAAAAACAAAATTAATTACAGAAATAATTTTAACCTCTATGGAAAACATTTTAAAATTATTGTTTACCACATCTTCAAACAATCCAAGAAAAAAACCAATTAAAGGTGTTTAATATTCTCCTGCTGAAACAAAACTTCAAAAACAAAAATTGTTAAGGACTCACACAGAAATCACAAACAAGACTTGTTATAGCACCAAATCACTACATCATCATAGTGTTACTTAAACTTGTTGTAGTAAAACCAGCAACGTCAACCAATAACACATCTTTAGCTGTCAATCAAATTTTGTGTCACACCCACTCACCTATTCTTCCATCTAAGCCACATTTCACACCTTTTCTTCAGTGTATTTGAGCTGTATTAAGTATTATATAGTATAAAGTCATGATCTGACTACTGACCAATAACTAATGTTACCTTCATTTTATAAAATCCATCAATATACCCTCTGACAACTGTGAGAGCTGACCAATTAAGTCAACAATGGACAGGTAAAGTAACAGTTTTATAAGTAAGTTAAAAACACAAACAGGTTTTATCTGTGGTAAAGCAGGATTTGGTAACGTTTGAAATAAAAAAGCTTATGGGTATGGACATTACTTCAGTCCTAATTGGTGATGTAGATTTGTGTTGTTCCTTGTAAATATTAATAATTAACTGAGCATTCACCATGCTACTTAGTCAGTAAATAACCTGGGAATTAAACACGGATTTTTTAGACAATAAAAGATAACTGTAAATATTTGATAAATTTCTATGAATAGTAATGGTGACCTTGACCTTTGAGCCCTGAAACACTAATTCTTCCAATGTAGTCACAACTGACCTTTGTATAGTTTGATCAAAATCCTTCAAGCTGATTTAGGATGAGACATTTAGGTTTATTTTTGTACATGTATATGCCCCCCCTCTTTAAATCAAATGAGGTGGGATAAATGGAATTTTTTGCATCTACAATCAAAATCAAGGATTTTTCAAAACTTTGAGATAGTTTGTTAGATGTAAATATCAGTATTTAAAAGATTTAAATTTCAGTAATTACTAGATGTAATTTCAGTATTTTAAAGATTTAAATCTCAGTATTTTAAAGATTTAAATCTCAGTATTTGCTGAATGTCAATTTCAGTAATTACTAGATGTAATTTCAGTATTTTAAAGATTTAAATCTCAGTATTTTAAAGATTTAAATCTCAGTATTTGCTGAATGTCAATTTCAGTAATGTAATTTCAGTATTTTAAAGATTTAACTGTATTTTAAATTTCAGTATTTGCTGAATGTCAAAGATTAAAATTTCAGTATTTTAAAGATTAAAATCTCAGTATTTTAAAGATTTAAATCTCAGTATTTGCTGAATGTCAATTTCAGTAATTACTAGATGTAATTTCAGTATTTTAAAGATTTAAAGATTAAAATTTTAGTAATTCTAGATGTAAATTTCAATATTTAAAGATTTAAATCTCAGTATTTGCTGAATGTCAATTTCAGTAATTACTAGATGTAAATTTATTTTAAAGATTTAAATCTCAGTATTTGCTGAATGTCAATTTCAGTAATTACTAGATGTAAATTTCAGTATCTTAAAGATTTAAAATCTCTTAAAGATTAAAATCTCAGTATTTTCAAGATTTAAATCTCAGTATTTGCTGAATGTCAATTTTAGTAATTACTAAATGTAAATTTCAGTATCTTAAAGATTAAAAACTCAGTATTTTCAAGATTTAAATCTCAGTATTTGCTGAATGTCAATTTCAGTAATTACTAGATGTAAATTTCAGTATCTTAAAGATTTAAATCTCAGTATTTTAAAGATTTAAATCTCAGTATTTGCTGAATGTCAATTTCAGTAATTACTAGATGTGAATGTCAAATTTCAGTATTTTAAAGATTTAAATCTCAGTATTTGCTGAATGTCAATTTCAGTAATTACTAATCTGTAAATTTCAGTATTTTAAAGATTTAAAGATTTTAAAGAAAATCTCAGTATTTTAAAGATTTAAATCTCAGTATTTGCTAAATGTCAATTTCAGTAATTACTAGTTGTAAATTTCAGTATCTTAAAGATTTAAATCTCAGTATTTTAAAGATTTAAATCTCAGTATTTTAAAGATTTAAATCTCAGTATTTTAAAAATTTAAATCTCAGTATTTTAAAGATTTAAATCTCAGTATTTTAAAGATTTAAATCTCAGTATTTTAAAGATTTAAATCTCAGTATTTTAAAGATTTAAATCTCAGTATTTGCTGAATGTCAATTTCAGTAATTACTAGATGTAAATTTCAGTATCTTAAAGATTTAAATCTCAGTATTTTAAAGATTTAAATCTCAGTATTTTAAAGATTTTGATCTCAGTTTTTGCTAAATGTCAATTTCATTATTGTTTAGATTTAGATCCTTAGTCAGCCTCTAAGGTAACCTCTAACTAGATCCAATGATTCACGTTCATAGTGGGGTAGGTTTGATAGGGCATGATCCTGTAGTCACTTACCTGTAAATATTATTGTGGAATTTATTGTAACTTGCTAAGGTCGTCAGTCCTCCCATACAAGCTGATAATGAAAAGAAAACTTGAACAGCAGCATCCGCCCAAACGCCAGGCTCTTTTAACCTCTCCCATTTCGGTGTGACATAGAACTTAATTCCCTGCATATAACCTTCCATCATAAACGCTCGTATCAAGAGAGCAAAAATAATGATGTAAGGAAACGTGACAACACAGTAGGCCACCTGTAAAAAAACAGTGAAACATAAAGATGGTAGAAACAAAGGTGTGTTACAATGTTCTAATTTTAATCTTTCACACAACTGATAGTAATGAAAGAATTAGGAAGAATTGTAAATAACATTACAGCTTAACAAATTCTAGCTAAGGAATTTTCCAGATAATGACATTTATACAATGTACTTTTGCTGACGGTAACTTGCTTGATAAATCTTTAGAACCAAATCTTCTTTGATTTTTTTTTTTTTGAATATATAAAAGTAAAAATTCCACAACGATGTCTGACCTTTCCAGATGTTCTGATTCCCTTTATTAAACACACAAACACAATAAACCAGGCCAGCATGAGACACAATGCTAACTCCCACTGGATATATCCAAGATTACCAAGAGACTTTCCTGTCATTCCCAGCACTCGATTGCTGAAATACAACAAGACTAGTTTGTACCAGATCTATTTACTATACATTCAACATACTTAATATCACAAATGAATTTTACCAATCAAATCTACTTATTCTTATAGATATAAAATATAAATATATAGCTGGCACCTCCTCTCACCATATATACATTTTCTTTTCTTAATTATCAAGATACAAATTCAAACGACATTTTTCCAGCTAACTAATGCACTTTGAGTATTTTTACATTGATCCTAAATAATATTATTTGTTCAAAATAATTGTATGTACAAAATATTGTAAATTTGAATGTGATAAAGAGAAAGTAAAATGAATACTTACAAAAAATATTCCTCGGTAGGACTTGTCCGAGAGCCATCATATTTTGGTTCGTCCAATAAAACATCTTTTCCCAGAATGTCTTGCAGACTTTCAATACAGTTTTCGAGTAACTGAGTTTCGTTGTTTCCATAGTAACTGCAGTTCGTTACCACCGACACACATGAATTATTTAAAGTAAAATTTCCAGTATCGAAAAAAGTCTGGTTAATCCAAGAACAGTTGCTTACACGATATTGATTTGTACTGCATGCTGAAAAATAAACACATCGATAAATATAATTTTATATTCTTCAGAAATAATAAAACAGAATTTTTTTTTTATAACTTGTAGACAACAAAAGCAGACCATTTTTTAACAGAATATCATCGTTTTCTTTACTGTAAGATGTAGAAGCTAGTAATGCAAACAGCACATAAATCTATCCAAATTTTCATTCAACTAGGTTCACCTTTCAAGCTGTAAGTGACACTGCCCGACTTCGAATTGATATTCTAGGAGCTTGGTGAACATTGTCAAATGTGCAGCACATCACTAGAATCATTACACAGATTTAGATCAAAATTATAAAGATATATATGTTGATTATTTTTTCTTCTATCATATATTTATTTATAAGTTTAAAACAGCCTAAAATTACAGAGTTGATAAAAGTGTTCCAATTCTTTTACAGTCACCCAACTTCAATGACAACAAGACTGTACCTTTGAATGACTCTGGACATTGATGGAAAAAAAAACAATAACTGCATACAGTGCTCAAGCAGGTGTTTAATTAACTCAACATTAACTTAGATACTTAGTGTCCCAGGATTTAGATATTCACCCTCAGTGTCCCAGGATTTAAATATTCACCCTCAGTGTCCCAGGATTTAGATACTCACCCTCAGTGTCCCAGGATTTGAATACTCACCCTCAGTGTCCCAGGATTTAGATATTCACCCTCAGTGTCCCAGGATTTAGATACTCACCTTCAGTGTCCCAGGATTTAGATACTCACCCTCAGTGTCCCTGGATTTAGATACTCACCCTCAGTGTCCCAGGATTTAGATATTCACCCTCAGTGTCCCAGGATTTAAATACTCACCCTCAGTGTCCCAGGATTTAAATACTCACCCTCAGTGTCCCTGGTGTCACCCTCAGTGTCCCAGGATTTAGATATTCACCCTCAGTGTCCCTGGATTTAGATATTCACCCTCAGTGTCCCTGGATTTAGATATTCACCCTCAGTGTCCCTGGATTTAGATATTCACCCTCAGTGTCCCTGGATTTAGATATTCACCCTCAGTGTCCCTGGATTTAGATATTCACCCTCAGTGTCCCTGGATTTAGATATTCACCCTCAGTGTCCCAGGATTTAAATACTCACCCTCAGTGTCCCTGGATTTAAATATTCACCCTCAGTGTCCCAGGATTTAGATATTCACCCTCAGTGTCCCTGGATTTAGATATTCACCCTCAGTGTCCCTGGATTTAGATATTCACCCTCAGTGTCCCAGGATTTAAATACTCACCCTCAGTGTCCCAGGATTTAGATATTCACCCTCAGTGTCCCAGGATTTAGATATTCACCTTCAGTGTCCCAGGATTTAGATATTCACCTTCAGTGTCCCAGGATTTAGATACTCACCTTCAGTGTTCTTTCAGTGATAAATACTCACCTTCAGTGTTCCAGTAGTTAATACAGCCGAGCCAGGGCAACACTCCCGTCATTGATGTTAAATACTCACCCTCAGTATTCCAGTAGTTATTACAGCCGAGCCAGGGCAGCACTCCCGTCATTGATGTTAAATACTCACCCTCAGTGTTCCAGTAGTTATTACAGCCGAGCCAGGGCAGCACTCCCGTCATTGATGTTAAATACTCACCCTCAGTGTTCCAGTAGTTATTACAGCCGAGCCAGGGCAGCACTCCCGTCATTGATGCAAACAAGAAGTGGAATGCCCATGCATTGACCATGTTGTAGTAGATAGAGACAATGGCAGACGACAACACCATGGAAATCCCAATACCTGTTGAGAAATCAGATTTTTTCTGTTCTAAGAACAAAATGTTTCCTCGATTGTTACAATTTTGTTGCTTTTCACCACTGCCACTGAAGCTCCAAAGTTAGTTAACTTTACTGAGTAATATAATTTATACTTCATATCTTCTCGGCATACAAACTGCCGAAATCATGGGTTGGGTCTCTTCATTATTCAGAAGATATGTTTTTAATGTTTGAAATCATTTGACCTTGAAGCTGGGTCAAGGTCACTTGTTCGGACAAACAGAACACATAACCCTAACTCTGACCTCTTAGTCATTGAGAATTTGTTTTCAGGAACTTGTGGAATTGACGCTGGAGGGACAACAGAATCCTCACTAATGCATCAGTTCACAAGTGAATTAGATAAGATACAGAAAGATTTTGTAAAAACCTGGTTTTTTTACTGATGTTGATTTATAATTGTTTATGCAAATTAATATACAAATTCTACTGGTTGTATCACAAACTCACCTTTAAAAAGTGGTACGGCTTTCCATACAGTGATAGGCCCCAAACTAGCATACTGTCCAAAGGCCAGCTCTAAATAGACCAAAGGGACACCACAGAACACTAACATTATAGCGTAGGGAATGAAGAAGGCTCCTGAAAAATAAAACGACAGAACACTAAAATTATAGCGTAGGGAATGAAGAAGGCTCCTGAAAAATAAAACGACAGAACACTAAAATTATAGCATAGGGAATGAAGAAGGCTCCTGAAAAATAAAACGACAGAACACTAAAATTATAGCATAGGGAATGAAGAAGGCTCCTGAAAAATAAAACGACAGAACACTAAAATTATAGCGTAGGGAATGAAGAAGGCTCCTGAAAAATAAAACGACAGAACACTAAAATTATAGCGTAGGGAATGAAGAAGGCTCCTGAAAAATAAAACGACAGAACACTAAAATTATAGCGTAGGGAATGAAGAAGGCTCCTGAAAAATAAAACGACAGAACACTAAAATTATAGCATAGGGAATGAAGAAGGCTCCTGAAAAATAAAACAACAGAACACTAAAATTATAGCATAGGGAATGAAGAAGGCTCCTGAAAAATAAAACGACAGATATGTTGTCCATAGTAAATAAAAGCATTGAGTGTAATGGACCCCTTCAGATATGAATGCGTTACCAGTGGATGGGGGTGGAGAAGGACCAGTCTATAATCCAGTCTAAAAGTAGTGTCCTTGGGTAGTTAAATCACTGGCAAATGGATACCAACATGTATTCTGTGAGTCACTCAAAAGTATTTACCACAACATCTCAAGTAAGATTGTAACATTAACCAGCTTCAAAGCTTCAGTTGGTAAAATACTTTTAATTCCTGATCAGTTTCAGAAGTTATGGTCCATCAGGGCAAAGTTACAATGTTTTCTTATCCCTAAAGTACTCAAGGTCATACCTTATCATGTGACATTGTCCTAGGAGTAGTAACTCTACCAACAAAGACAGAGTGAAACAGGCTTGTAAACACAAACAAAGGCAGAGTGAAAGAGGCTTGTAAACACTAAGAAAGGCAGAGTGAAAGAGGCTTGTAAACACAAACAAAGGCAAAGGGAAAGAGGCTTGTAAACATTAACAAACTCAGAGTGAAAGAGGCTTGTAAACACTAACAAAGGCAGTGTGAAAGAGGCTTGTAAACATTAACAAACTCAGAGTGAAAGAGGCTTGTAAACACTAACAAAGGCAGAGTGAAAGAGGCTTGTAAACACTAACAAACTCAGAGTGAAAGAGGCTTGTAAACATTAACAAACTCAGAGTGAAAGAGGCTTGTAAACATTAACAAACTCAGAGTGAAAGAGGTTTGTAAACACTAACAAAGGCAGAGTGAAAGAGGCTTGTAAACACTAACAAACTCAGAGTGAAAGAGGCTTGTAAACATTAACAAAGGCAGAGTGAAAGAGGCTTGTAAACACTAACAAACTCAGAGTGAAAGAGGCTTGTAAACATTAACAAACTCAGAGTGAAAGAGGCTTGTAAACATTAACAAACTCAGAGTGAAAGAGGTTTGTAAACACTAACAAAGGCAGAGTGAAAGAGGCTTGTAAACATTAACAAACTCAGAGTGAAAGAGGCTTGTAAACACTACCAAAGGCAGAGTGAAAGAGGCTTGTAAACATTAACAATGGTGGAGTGAAAGAGGCTTGTAAACATTAACAAAGGCAGAGTGAAAGAGGCTTGTAAACATTAACAAACTCAGAGTGAAAGAGGCTTGTAAACACTACCAAAGGCAGAGTGAAAGAGGCTTGTAAACATTAACAAACTCAGAGTGAAAGAGGCTTGTAAACATTAACAAACTCAGAGTGAAAGAGGCTTGTAAACACTAAGAAAGGCAGAGTGAAAGAGGCTTGTAAACACAAACAAAGGCAGAGTGAAAGAGGCTTGTAAACATTAACAAACTCAGAGTGAAAGAGGCTTGTAAACACAAACAAAAGCAGAGTGAAAGAGGCTTGTAAACACTAACAAAGGCAGAGTGAAAGAGGCTTGTAAACATTAACAAACTCAGAGTGAAAGAGGCTTGTAAACACTAACAAAGGCAGAGTGAAAGAGGCTTGTAAACACTAACAAAGGCAGATTGAAAGAGGCTTGTAAACATTAACAAAGGCAGAGTGAAAGAGGCTTGTAACAAAGGCAGAGTGAAAGAGGCTTGTAAACACAAACAAAGGCAAAGTGAAAGAGGCTTGTAAACATTAACAAACTCAGAGTGAAAGAGGCATGTAAACACAAACAAAAGCAGAGTGAAAGAGGCTTGTAAACACTAACAAAGGCAGAGTGAAAGAGGCTTGTAAACACAAACAAAGGCAGAGTGAAAGAGGCTTGTAAACACTAACAAAGGCAGAGTGAAAGAGGCTTGTAAACACTAACAAAGGCAGAGTGAAAGAGGCTTGTAAACACTAACAAAGGCAGAGTGAAAGAGGATTGTAAACACTAACAAAGGCAGAGTGAAAGAGGCTTGTAAACACTAACAAAGGCAGAGTGAAAGAGGCTTGTAAACACTAACAAAGGCAGAGTGAAAGAGGCTTGTAAACACTAACAAAGGCAGAGTGAAAGAGGCTTATAAACACAAACAAAGGCAGAGTGAAAGAGGCTTGTAAACATTAACAAACGCAGAGTGAAAGAGGCTTGTAAACACTAACAAAGGCAGAGTGAAAGAGGCTTGTAAACATTAACAAACTCAGAGTGAAAGAGGCTTGTAAACACTAACAAAGGCAGAGTGAAAGAGGCTTGTAAACATTAACAATGGTGGAGTGAAAGAGGCTTGTAAACACTAACAAAGGCAGAGTGAAAGAGGCTTGTAAACACTAACAAAGGCAGATTGAAAGAGGCTTGTAAACACTAAGAAAGGCAGAGTGAAAGAGGCTTGTAAACATAAAAAAAGGCAGAGTGAAAGAGGCTTGTAAACATTAACAAACTCAGAGTGAAAGAGGCTTGTAAACACAAACAAAGGCAGAGTGAAAGAGGCTTGTAAACATTAACAAACTAAGAGTGAAAGAGGCTTGTAAACACTAACAAAGGCAGAGTGAAAGAGGCTTGTAAACACTAACAAAGGCAGAGTGAAAGAGGCTTGTAAACACTAACAAAGGCAGAGTGAAAGAGGCTTGTAAACACTAACAAACTCAGAGTGAAAGAGGCTTGTAAACACTAACAAAGGCAGAGTGAAAGAGGCTTGTAAACATTAACAAACTCAGAGTGAAAGAGGCTTGTAAACACTAACAAAGGCAGAGTGAAAGAGGCTTGTAAACACAAACAAAGGCAGAGTGAAAGAGGCTTGTAAACACAAACAAAGGCAGAGTGAAAGAGGCTTGCAGAGTGAAAGAGGCTTGTAAACACAAACAAAGGCAGAGTAAAAGAGGCTTGTAAACATAAACAAAGGCAGAGTGAAAGAGGCTTGTAAACATTAACAAACTCAGAGTGAAAGAGGCTTGTAAACACTAACAAAGGCAGAGTGAAAGAGGCTTGTAAACATTAACAAACTCAGAGTGAAAGAGGCTTGTAAACACTACCAAAGGCAGAGTGAAAGAGGCTTGTAAACATTAACAATGGTGGAGTGAAAGAGGCTTGTAAACACTAAGAAAGGCAGAGTGAAAGAGGCATGTAAACACAAACAAAGGCAGAGTAAAAGAGGCTTGTAAACACTAACAAAGGCAGAGTGAAAGAGGCTTGTAAACACTAACAAAGGTAGAATGAAAGAGGCTTGTAAACACTAGCAGCATTATCTTCATACTTTTTATTTCAATCTGACAACATCAATATGTTTTATTGTAAATCTATATCTTTGTAATTTATGTTGACAAGAAATAAAAGTACTAGCAATGTCAAATTCAGAGTGAGATACAGTCGAGCCAAACAGAGTTTAACTGCATCATACAGCTGTTTTGTCCTTCTAGGGCTCTCAAGGGATGCCAAGGGCCTAAATTTTGAAGCTTAGGATGCAACTGAAGAAAGTTCAAAGTGACCAAGTGTAATGTTAACATACTATTTCTCACATAACTCAAAAATTTACATTTTAACAAGTTTTGAAGTCCAGACATTGACAACAAAATCAAACAAAGGCTGCTGTTATATTGCAGCATTGTTAATTCATTGCATAACATCATCGTCCATGTTTCATGATGGCCTAGTGTCCTGAAGTCGACAGAAGGAGATTGCGAGATAGCCCTAACTAGGCGCCTTAATATTGTGACATCATAATTGATTTCTGACTGGCGCAGCAAATGGAAACTGCTCGAGGGTATATTACACAAGTAACATAAGCCAGACAGTAACAACAACAAATTCAATGGATAAAAGGAAGGTGATGTGATGAGATTTCTAAATCAACTCCCGAATAAAACCTCATTTGAGTGCAAACACATACATTATGAATTGTTAGGTTAAATGCAATGAGTAAATATCCTAATTGTTAAACAAAGATCCATAGATATGTTCAGAAATTAAATGTAAATCAAACTGAATTTATACTACAATGTACATGGAGAGGCATTTAATTTACAAAGACTGCAGTATATATATCTGTCTCAGATGGCTGCCAACAATACTTGAAGATCAGACCAGATAATAAATGCATCATTATATATATCAGTCTAGGTAATACCAGTCTGCCATCATTATACCTACATATTCAGCATTAGTCAGTCATCCACCTCATAAAATTTCTTTAACGATGATTTAATGTCTTGACAGAGACGTTATCCTATATATAATGGGTTTGTTGTTTACTCGATATTATATATGGGTACAAAGGTTTTGCTCATTATATATAATACAGAAATAATCACTACATATACACAAACTCATTTATTTACAGAACACGTCAGTAAACAGACCCGGACTCACACAGAAAATTCTTTATTCACCCAAGAAAGATGTCACAACCACAAGTTTACAGACATTCAATCTCTTTTACAAATAATTCATAATAATGTATTCATTCTTTATTTCTAGAATCTCTTTTTATAATTATTATTTATCCTATAAGTGACAACAGTAAACACAAATTCTTAGATAAAAGATCATGTTACCAGAATCCAGAAAGTCAGCTGGACTAAAATTTTATTCCCTGTTTGGATCAATGAGATGATTCACATTAATATTTAAAGCCGTTATAATATTCTTTGGGGACAAGTCCAAACGTCACATGATCTCAAGTCAACGAAGCGATAAAAATTTACATTAAAACTACAATATTCACCCTAGCTGGCAACTGTATTCTACTCTTAAAGATGGGTTCACGTCCAGCAGGACATTAGGAATAAATCTGACTAATACATTAGCTATACAAATGTGCCCCCTCCCAGATTTAGTTCTATCCTGTACAATATAACTTCTGTTTTTATATCAGTCAAACATGACAAACAGAATCCGTCTCACACCTCTCTGATGTTCAACTTTTGACTTTTCTGCTCTGCCAGTGTTTATGTTCAGTACAGTTCTTTGGAATTAAGACTGCTTCCTAGTATGAATATATAGTTACTATGACACTTAACGTCTTCTTCAAAATATAGGATGAATATAGGAATATTTTCTCATCAAATGTAGAAGTTTTTTGCTAGTTTTGAGGCAAAATATAGGAGTTTTCCAAACGAAAATTGTTTCATTCAAAGGCAATTATACTAACAATTCCTACATTCACTTACTGTTTCTATATTAATCAATGATTAAAAACTACCTTAAAGTAACCATTCACTTCAACAGCATCATAATCCAGGCAGAGAGCTGCTGCATAGCTCATCATTATAATCATCTGTATGTGCACCTAAAAGGCAAATATCCTGTTTTACTGCCTTGCAAGGTGTCCATACAGGTGATAAAGAGATGCACTGAATCATTTTCTGGTGGCTGGTGATTCTGTTAAAGACTTAAGAATTCTCTAACTTGTAAAATAAAGAAGCCAAAAGCAGTATCAAAGAAATCTTAGCAATCTCTACATATATCGGTGACAAATTTCCTGAAAAATATAGGAATATTTTTCAAAAAATTGGAAAATATAGGAAATACAACAGGTCTTTCAAAATATAGGTTTTTAAACCAAAATATAGGAAAATATAGGAATAAAGGAATCGGTTGACAGCCTGCCACTCTTTACCATAACTTACCTCCACCGTTTTTGTACACGAGATACGGAAACCTCCATACATTGCCAAGGCCGACCACATATCCTAGACAGGAGAGGACAAAGTCCAGACGGCTACTCCAGTTACCACGGTAATTACTGTCCTCCTCTGGCTCCTCACTATCACCACTGTCTAGAGTGGTCAGTTCAGACAGGTAACCGTTTGTCATGTCAGCATCCTCTGTCTCCTGAAACAGATGGGGGTAAAATGACAGTTGTATTCTTTATATTAACTTCAGAACAGACAATTCCTGGATTAACCACTGAAAACATGTACAATTCTGTTTGACAACAATAACCTTCAACCCTTTTCAAAACAACCAGCATTCAAAAAAGCACTTCCATTAGCAAATGACCTTGACCTTTCATGTTGTGTTTAAATACACCAATTATCCCCAGCCATAAAATCATCTTCCCAATATTTCTTTTGAAGTCATAAAACCTTTAATGAAGTCCTTTATAATGAGAATTATACAGGGGATAAAAAACCACTGCAGTAATAGGGAATTATAAAAACTTTATATAAAACATTTGTTGGCCCTGCTCCATTCAGTTCTACCCATTTATTCCATTGCAGGTAAACCTCTCTAACAAGCAATGGAAACACCTGCCTGTTTACCTTGTAAGTAAGCTGCATTCACTAACAGTGATTAGTCTGTATTACTGCAATAGTTTTCCAGTCCAAATTAAGACAAAGTTGGCAGTAAAGTAACAGTAACTAAAACCCCTAATCCTATAGTACATAAAACAAAGGACCAATCTTGTATTGATGATTGTGTCATGTTTCCAATACAAACTTTATCATTATATTAACTTCATTTTCCCCTGTTTTCCAGCTATCCTTTATCATTATATTTACTTCATTTTCCCCCTGTTTTCCAGCTATCCTTTATCATTATATTTACTTCAATTTTCCTCATTTTTCCAGCTATCCTTTATCATCATATTTACTTCAATTTTCCTCATTTTTCCAGCTATCCTTTATCATTATATTTACTTCAATTTTCCTCATTTTTCCAGCTATCCTTTATCATTATATTTACTTCAATTTTCCTCATTTTTCTAGCTATCCTTTATCATTATATTTACTTCAATTTTCCTCATTTTTCCAGCTATCCTTTATCATTATATTTACTTCAATTTTCCTCATTTTTCCAGCTATCCTTTATCATTATATTTACTTCAATTTTCCTCATTTTTCCAGCTATCCTTTATCATTATATTCACTTCAATTTTCCTCATTTTTCCAGCTATCCTTTATCATTATATTTACTTCAATTTTCCTCATTTTTCCAGCTATCCTTTATCATTATATTTACTTCAATTTTCCTCATTTTTCCAGCTATCCTTTATCGTTATATTCACTTCAATTTTCCTCATTTTTCTAGCTATCCTTTATCATTTATTTACTTCAATTTTCCTCATTTTTCCAGCTATCCTTTATCTACTTCAATTTTCCTCATTTTTCCAGCTATCCTTTATCGTTATATTCACTTCATCGCCTCCCCCCCCCCATTTTTCCAGATATCCTGTGAATCCATGAGTAAGTAGTTGACTTCTAGTGTCAAAACAGATGAAAGATTTTATGAGACCAAAGAACTAACACAGGATATATGATAACAAAAATAAACTTTGTGCTGAGTGAATGAACTGTAGAATAAGATTGTTTAAATATTATGATGATTTGAATACATTTTCTCTTTTATCTTCAGGCAAACTGTTTTTATTTTTGTTTCCCAAATTTATTATGGTACTCATGGAATGTCCTACGTGGATATGTTTATGGACACTGTCCATGAAATGTCCATGCTATAGAGTAACATCAAAGATTGTGCAGCAACTTAGCATATATGTCTTACACACCAAAATATTCCTGCTTTGATAAGTGACAGGAAATTCACAACATGTAGTTCATTGATTGTGTAATATTTATCTATTGATAGTGTGATATTTATCAACTGATGGTGTGGTATTTATCTATTGATGGTGTGGTATTTATCTACTGATGGTGTGGTATCAACCTACTAATTGTGTGGTATCTACCTACTAATTGTGTGGTATCTACCTACTAATTGTGTGGTATTTATTGATTGTGTGGTATTTATCTACTGATGGTGTGGTATTTATCTACTGATTGTGTGGTATTTATCTACTGATTGTGTGGTATCTACTGATGGTGTGGTATTTATTGATTGTGTGGTATTTATCTATTGATTGTGTGGTATTTATTGTGTGGTATTTATCTACTGATTGTGGTATTTATCTACTGATGGTGTGGTATTTATCTACTGATTGTGGTATTTATCTACTGATTGTGTGGTATTTATTGATTGTGTGGTATTTATCTACTGATGGTGTGGTATTTATCTACTGATTGTGGTATTTATCTACTGATGGTGTGATATTTATCTACTGATGGTGTGGTATTTATTGATTGTGTGGTATTTATCTACTGATGGTGTGGTATTTATCTACTGATTGTGGTATTTATCTACTGATGGTGTGATATTTATCTACTGATTGTGTGGTATTTATCTATTGATTGTGTGGTATTTATCTACTGATGGTGTGGTATTTATCTACTGATTGTGTGGTCTTTGTTCAACATTTATTGGACACCAGATGGTAAAGACTGTGACATCCTTCAATCAATTATTTAAAATCAAGATTATAACTGACTCAATATTGCACTTATGTGCATTAAAAATCACAAATACTGCAGCAGTGATACATACTGAATTACAACGCAGCTGAGTTACAGTTTTACAACATCTAGAATTCTACAGTAATGCAGCTGAGTTACAGTTCTACAACATCTAGAATTCTACAGTAATGCAGCTGAGTTACAGCACTACAACATCTAGAATTCTACAGTAATGCAGCTGAGTTACAGTACTACCACATCTAGAATTCTACAGTAATGCAGCTGAGTTACAGTACTACCACATCTAGAATTCTACAATAATGCAGCCAAGTTACAGTTCTACAACATCTAGAATTCTACAGTAATGCAGCCGAGTTACAGTACTACAACATCTAGAATTCTACAGTAATGCAGCTGAGTTACAGCACTACAACATCTAGAATTCTACAGTAATGCAGCTGAGTTACAGTACTACAACATCTAGAATTCTACAGTAATGCAGCTGAGTTACAGTACTACAACATCTAGAGTTCTACAGTAATGCAGCTAAGTTACAGTACTACAACATCTAGAATTCTACAGTAATGCAGCTGAGTTACAGTACTACAACATCTAGAATTCTACAGTAATGCAGCTGAGTTACAGTACTACAACATCTAGAGTTCTACAGTAATGCAGCTGAGTTACAGTACTACCACATCTAGAATTCTACAGTAATGCAGCTGAGTTTCAGTATCACAACATCTAGAGTTCTACAGTAACGCAGCTGAGTTACAGTACTACAACATCTAGAATTCTACAGTAATGCAGCTGAGTTACAGTACTACAACATCTAGAGTTCTACAGTAATGCAGCTGAGTTACAGTACTACAACATCTAGAATTCTACAATAATGCAGCTGAGTTACAGTACTACAACATCTAGAATTCTACAGTAATGCAGCCAAGTTACAGTACTACAACATCTAGAATTCTACAGTAATGCAGCTGAGTTTCAGTATTACAACATCTAGAGTTCTACAGTAATGCAGCTGAGTAACAGTACTACAACATCTAGAATTCTACAGTAATGCAGCTGAGTTACAGTACTACAACATCTAGAATTCTACAATAATGAGGTATAAATAATACATCATGATTTACAAGGTCTTTCATGCTCTGAAAATACTAAACAGCTGGAGTCTGCTGCTTTACAGCATCTCCTACTTGGTACATTTGTTTGTACCATTTGTGATAGAGGTCAGTGTTGACAGGTATATATGTAGTCACAGTGGTTGTGTCAGTGATGTGCCTGGAACTGTCAGTATATACATACACTAACCGGCCAGTCTTACGAATCATTATATCTTACTGTCTGTGTAGGTTTCATGGAAATAGCTTTGTATCATCAGTCAAATTCCCTTTTTTTTTTTGTCTTTAAAACAAAAACAAGACAATATTTGTCCAAGTGCTTGGATACAACCATTAGCCTGTCCCTGGTTCCACCCTAGTATGGTTGGTTGGTTTTATATCTACTTTTCCACCACCAAAGTCTGTGTTCAGGCAATGCAAGGAGGCTGATCTCTTACTGCCTCTGGTAGGTCTCACCCTGGCTAAATACAGAAAAGTTAATCTTTTCCCCAAGATTTCAGGGTGATGCACCTAGAAAGCTGGCAGTTCATATGAGGTGAAAAACAACAATGTACTTGATATAGAGGGTGAGAGTGGAAATCAGAGGTCACAAATATAGCCCTGACTAATCTGTATAGTGTCAGGCTGGTTCCCTGGGTGGATACAAGGTGAAAGAGAGGTTGATTCATGACAAATAACCAACTGCATATGTAGTTCCACCCACCCAAAAATTAATAATAGGCCAATTTTCTTTCGGAAAAAATGTCAGTGGGTGAAGGTGAGGTCAAACATGGAAGCTTGTGATGACTGATTTATTATCGAAGTGTATATAAATCCTTACCATAGTTAGCAATATTCATATGCATAATCAAATCATACCGTCTGTTACATATCTATATATATACTTATACTTACAAAATCAATCAGCTGTATGATATTCTCCTGTCATTTATCCAAACTCTGACAACCAAGAATCATCACATGACATTTTCAGAATAAAATGTAGCCATCCTCGTGAAGTGATATGACAATAAATCTCGCGAGATATTTAACTTTGAGATTTAAAGCCGATTCATAGAATAACATTTATTGCACTGATCTGTCATAAATACCATCGAACAATACTTTTCCCATGGTCCTTTAAGAACCGGTATAACACAGTAATATATCACTGGCTGCCGTGTATGTATTAGGAAATATAAACATCAGCGTACACACTTTACCATTTCCCTACACTGAATGGGGACATGTTCATGTTATTGAATGGTAAATACTAGGTCTTTATAAAGACTTGTGTTGGTTTCCACCCTTCATTGCCTACAGACTATACAGGTGCTAACTACAGGTTTACATGTCCCCCAGCCTTCTGTGTGGTTTGTACGATATTGTTGTCGATGGGCTGGGTAGATGCAGCTACCCAGTATACCTGCTGGTT